TACAGCCCCAAATCTCAGATGAGTTGAAAAGGATGTTCTGTGGACACATTCTCATCTACCTGCCAGCTGTGCTTGAGTGCCTGACCACTGAGATCCTGGAACTAGCAGGAAACATGGCTCATGACAGCGGAAGGACAGGATCGTCCCTCGGCACCTACAGTTGGCTGTCCGCAGCGACGAGGAGCTCTGTAGACTGCTGGGAGGAGTGGCCATGGCTCTGGGAGGAGTTCTGCCCAGCATACGGGTGGTCCTACAGCCGGGGGAACCGAGAGGCCAGCCGAGTCTGGGTGGACGGATCACACGGCATCTGCAGCCAGTTTCTTAGGATCCACTGTTGGGATGGACCTTTACAAGAGATCCTTCCTGTCTACAGCCATCAGCATCTATAACATCTTTATGAAATGAGGATAACAAGTTACAACAACAAATTATTTCCCTTTGGGATTAATAAAGTATTTTTGAATTTGAATTTGAATATGAAATATGAATGAATAACCAATAGTGTTATTTCAGAAGAGTGGATAATATAAGATAGCTTAAAACTTTGAAAAGAGATGTTATTCAATTTAGGACTAATGTTAAAACTTATGTAAACTTTATTTTAGATTCATACAATAAACTCAAAGTGTCTAAAAACTTTGTTGGCACTGAGGGTCATTCCTTTTCATCAGAAGGAAGATGTTTTATTCTACCGGAGACGTCCATACAAGAGATATGATGTGAAAGCCGGAGGTTCACGCAGTCACTGGAAGGGATGTCTTTTCCTTCAAGGACCACGTCTCGTCCAGCAAGACAGTGCCTCATTATTCTGGGGTGTTTGAGCAAGTTACAAGGACTTTCTCAGTTTCAGCTGATTGAACCCTGTCCAACATAGAAAGGGGCCTGAACCTGGCTCCCCACTGATTCCAAGAAGACCACTTCTCAACCAACACAACTCTAATGACCCTCCTTTCCGTGTCAACTTTACCTGATTTTAAAAGGGGGAGTTGCCTATGAAAATTGTATCCAATCGATGCAATTTACCTACACTGGGTGTCAGCCAAGCTGCATGAATTAATTTTGATTATATAACCCCACCTCTCAAAGTTTAGAGGGAACAATGACTTTATTTACATGATAACACCATTTCTTCACAGATGTATAGTTAGGTTTTTTTTCACACAACATTGGCAAACATATAGTCTGTTTGAAGCTCTGTCTTATTGACCCACTTCCTCCATTGTCATGGTGATGGAGTTGATCACCCAATACTTCTACTACTACAATACTTCTTGAGCATGTGATCAGCTGGTTTTGGTTGTCAGCAGCAAAACTGGTTGATCCACTCTGTGAAGGTGCTATTTAAGAGACTGAGCTGAATACAGCACCTCAGACTGAGGAAGTCTCTTGGATGAGAGACGAAACGTTTCTACATTTTTTTGTTTTGCTTTGCTTTTTTTGTTTTTTTTTTAATGTCCAGAGGACCAGATTTAACTTTTTTAGGTCACCCAATACTGTTTCAAGACCATTGTTCTCCAGGGACCTTGTGAATTATGATACCATCCTGTGACCAGGGTGTTACTATAGACACTGACACATTTTATATCCTCAGGGTAGGGTAGAGTTCTGTTCAACTGTTGAACATGTATTGAAAGGTGTCTCCTTGTCTGGCTTCCCCAGGAAAGGGTTGATTAGCAAAGGGGGTATAGTTACCATACAAAAAGTTCAATGTCTCTGAGGCCCGATCAGAATGTGCTGACTCATCCTGATTCAAGTTCAATTCAAATTCAAATATAATTTATTAATCCCAAAGGGAAATTAATTGTTGTAGCTCATCTTGGTTTCATTAAAGTTGTTCTAGATGTTTATGCCTTTGGGCAGGAAGGATCTCTTGTAGCAGTCTGTCCCACAGCGGATTCGAAGAAACTGGCTACACAGATGTCAATCTGTCAATCTGTCCATCCAGACAAACAGACCTCTCGGTCCTCTTGGGCAGCAGGACTGCCTGAATGTCAGGCAGACCTTATCCCTGAGCGATGGCCATTTCTCCCAGCAGCCTGCCAAGCCCTTTATTGTCACAGACTTAACTGCAGGTGCCGGGGGATGATCTTGGTCCTCCCGCTGGCACAAGCTGCGTTTCCCGCTACCTCCAAGATCTCTGCAGTCAGGCACTCAAGCACTGCTTCCAGGTAGATGGGAATGTATCCACGGCACCTCCTTTTCAACTCATTTGGGATTTGGGGCTGTAGTTGAGATTTGAGCTTTTGAAATGTTTATCAGACGCTCCCAGTTGTAGAAAACCACCCTGTTATGGTTATGTATCATAACAAATGTCCAAAAGTAAAAAGGGTTTCAGTAAAAATCCTGCCAGCAGCACAGCATCTGATACCAGAGGAAATACTCATCTGAAAAAAAAGCAATTTGCATTCAGAAAAAAAAAAAAAAAAGATTAAAGTTTTCAAAAGCAAAATCTTAAAATGAATGTGAGAGCTATTCCAACATGCAGCCACCTTGAGCGGCACAATTCATTCATCCTTATGAATTGCAGAACACTACATCACATATCACCAATTAAAGTGGCATTACAGTGATTTTCTTTCTTTTTTTTTTGTCCTGGTTAGGGATTCATGAGTCTGACAGCTTCAGGGTAGAAGCTGTTCCTCAGTCTAGTGGTTCTACATTTAATGCTCCTCAACTTCCTGCCTGAGGGGAGTGGGACAAAAACTGTGCGCTGGGTGAGTGGGGTCCTTCATGATGTATGTGACCCTCTTCCTGCATCTAGAGGTGTAGATGTCTGTGTTGTTGGGGAGGCTGACTCCAACAGACTTCTGTGCAGCCTTCACCACTCTCTGCAGAGCTTTTCTTTCTGCAGCTGTGCAGCCTCCATGCCACACGTTCATGCTGGAGCACAGGATGCTCTCCACTGCACACCTGTAGAAGGAGGTGAGGACTGAGCTTCCCAGACCAGCTCGTCTCAGCCGCCTGAGGGAGTAGAGTCTCTGATGAGCTTTCTTGATCAGACTGGTGTTGTTGCCCCAGCTGAGGTTGTCATTCAGGTGCACACCCAAGTACTTGTAGCTGGAGACCACTTCCACCGCTGATCCTCCTATGTTGGGGCGGGGGGGGGGGGGGGGGGGGGGGGTAGTGTGTTTGTTCCTTCTGAAGTCCACAACCATCTCCTTTATCTTCTGCATGTTGATGTGAAGGTTGTTCTTCCTGCACCAGCTCTCCAGGTGTTGGCCAGGTCTGTACATTGAAGCACGTGATGATGATCTATGTCCTTTCTTGTTTTTTAACACATCATATTTAAACACAATTGTCCATATTTAGTCCATATTTACAAAACAATGTTGGCATTTGTAGTTTTTATTATTATTTTTTTCTATGTTTGTGTTGCGCATTGTTGCATTTTTAAATCATTTAAGATCAGTATATCCTTAGTGGTATTTGTAACATTTTTACCTTCATTTTATCCAGTACAATTTTCTTACAGGACTTGGTTTTTAAAATCCTCTTTGACTCCCTCTTTAATCTTCCTTCTTTAGTAAATGTGTGCTTTTTTTCCCCCTTGCTATTTGATAATAAGATTTTGGTCTACTTTTAAATATGTTTTCCTGGAAACGTTCGCTTGGCAAGAGCGACAATGAGTTGAATTCTTCTCACACACATTTCTATGCCAGCATCCATTGTACATGCCAGCATCCATTGTACCTCACTCTTCATCTTCCAGGTTCTGTTGAAATCAAAATGACAAAAGGTTTTCTCATTTCTATCTTATTATTCGACCTTTGTCTGTGAGTAATGACTAAAGTATATGCTAATCAAAATGTGATTGGTGCTCTTAGCTCCATGTTTCATAGTCTTTCCTTATTTTAGCAACAATGTACTAGCTTCTAATAAAACTTAACCTCCTGTAAGTGCTGGTTTTATATGCTTTATTTCAGTAGATTAAATTCACTGCATTCTTGTTGCTTTGAGAAGGATAGTAAAACTTCTGTGCTTGGTCAAAAGCTCATGTGATCATCGATATTTTGTCAAATAACACTTAGCTTGGACTGACACCTTGGATTAGCTTGGTTTCTTCATTAGGTCAGTAGGTTGTAAATAATGTTTATTCAACAAATTATTTTCAAATATTTGTTGTGTTTCCAATCTTGGCTGTGAATCGTGTTATTTTTTAATTTTTTTTTTTCAATTGGTATTACTCAAACATTTAAGTTCCAATTGCAAGAATTTGATGTGTTTTTTCTTGTTTGTTTGTTTTTTCAAACAAGTTTCAATCTTCAGGATACATATGTCACTATTATCCTTTTAGTGGAAATAACAAACAAACAAAAATAACTTTTAACCTAATTTTTAGTGTTTTTGACACGGTCCTAGTTTTTTTTGTTTTGTTTTGTTGTTAAGAATTTTGTAAACTAGAGTTTGCCCATAATGAGTGTTGTTGTATAATTGTTATTTTTGTAACTATATTTAATGGTTGATAAAACGTCATTAACTGCAGTTCATACTTGGCACTTTCTGAACTTCTCCATGAAGCAGAAACTTCCTGCTGACCATGACTATCCTAAATAACATTACACCAAACATGTTATTTGTTAAGAAATGGTAGTTTTACTTGAGATGCAGACACATTTATAACATACAAGATAATATAAGATGGTGAGGTAGAAAAGCATTTTATTGATCCATAGCAGGGAAAAAAATCACTATAAGCAGGTTTCACAAACAAGAAAAAGGGAAAATATTTATAAGTATGTTGAAAATTGCCAATCAACTCAAATTAATAAATTACTGGGAAATAGACTTACAGAAATAAATGGCCTAATGTTCAATCCACCCCACTCTAGAGTTTAGTCCAGTTGGTTCCACAAGTTGACCCTGTTGAGCGACGGGCCATTGCAGCATAGTCGGTTCAAAACCAAACAATGATCGCCTAGCTAATCTGTGCTCAGACAAGGTGTTTCATGAGTTCCTAATGCATTTATTAATAAAACTTTTTTTCTTTTTTTTTACCTTAGTTCCTTCATCCTAAACAAAAGAACAGGCTTCCTCATCATCAAGGAGAACACCCCAACAGGAACTTACCAGTTCCAAGTACGAGTATCTGATGGCATTTGGCCCGATGCTGTCTCCACTGTTACTGTACATGTAAGGGAGCTGCGAGAGGAGGCCATCTTCAACTCTGGGTCCCTCCGTCTGGCAGGTGAGAGTGACTTTCTACTGACACCGACTTACACCTCTGCTGTGACTGCATGTTGCTTTACTTTCTAATTAGTAAACTTTAAACCCCCAACTTCTCCGTGATGTCTGGTTTATGCTCACAGACAGCTGATGTCTGTCTGTCTTGTCTTGTCTTGTCTGTCTGTCTATAAGGAAAAAAGAAAATAAAAAAATCACTGTAATGCCACTTTAATTGGTGACATGTGACTTATCTGTGCTGCTGATTATCCATGCTGCTGATCTAATGGTGCTGGTTATGTCATGCTACTGTATTCATACCCATCTACTCACTACAAACTCATGTTCGTGCTGCTCTTTAATATACCATATTATTTTACATTATTTGTGTTTGGTGTATATCTTACATCTTTTAGTGTATAGTTTAGTGTATATCTTAAATCCTTATATATTGTTTCTTTTTATACTTAATATTTTTGCTATTTTGGGTGTAACTGAGACCTTGACTACACAATTTCGTTCTACTTCATTTGCCACATGTGATGCAAATGCCAATTAAAAAATAAAAATAAAAATAAAAAACTGGAACTTGAATGTCTGACACAGTATGACTCAAGCTTGGCTTTCCATGTACAGTCAGAGTAAAACTACATACAATAAGTGCTGATCAAAAACTTATACAATTTATATAACAGAACATATTTGAATCAAATTTAAGAACATTTATTTTATGGAAATACTATTTAAAAAGAATGCTGTGCTACAAAAACTGCCTATACCATTAGGCTTTATGTAGTTTATTTTATTTGTAGTTTTCTCTTCATTGTTTGGAAAATCATATCTAAAAGCTGGACACCTTTGGGAATGGCCTCCCATGTGCACTTAGACTAGTTTACAGCTGCCAGAAACTTCACTGGCTGTCATCCTGCCAAGGATATTTCTGAAAGATGTGCTGTGACATTAGTTCTATAAGAGCAACAAGTTCTGTTGGACCCACAACAATACCAATTTGGGATGAGTCCTGCTGACAAGGAAGTGCTGAATGTGCTCATTATTTTACAGACTTGTCTCAAGTTATAGAAATAGCGTTGATTGTTGTTTACTCTTTCCACTGGCTGTGTTTCAACTTTTTGCTAAGAGACGGTTTTTCAGAATGATTACTTCTGATATTAATTCCTGCTCCCTATCTCATGGGATGTCAGCTGATAGTGCAAATTCAGAAAAGCCTGTTGCCATTACTTACTCTGGCAAAATAATTAGTTGTGGATCTGCTCAGCCAGCACATCCGCCTCTTATGATGAATGGCATCCATCATTACCTGATGTACAGCACATCTCACTCTGTTCAGAATTAAATTCAATTTAGAGAAATAGGACATGGCTCAAGGATTTTTATGATTTTAGAGATATTATATATTCAATAGAAGTAGACGGTGAGGCTGTGAATGTTCTCGAAAGATGGAAGAAGAGCAGAGAAAAATAATAAAGGAAAGGAAAATGAGTCAAGTGAGAGTCAAGCCTCGTATAAGCAGATAAAAAGATTATTTCTTGTTCTAAGAGGCCTGAGGTAAATTGAAAATGCACTAAATGCTTAGCCAGCAAAGTATCAAGCAGGTGCACATATTTCAATATTTGTAAAAAGGAAACTAATGTGTATTCAAAATAAATCTGAAAAAACATGTACAAAATGCAAAATGGAAGTGTAAATGCACTAATTCCAAGATGTGAGGAAAAAAATAGTTTGACAAATAATAAATGTGCAATTTATTTTTTTCCACTGGATTGGTATCATCTTTCAGGTGACAGGAAGTTAAATGATCTGAGAAAAAGGCGAGAATAAATTTTCAAATTACTGAGCATTTTTTATTAATTAGCTCTTTAAAATGATTAAACGGAAGAACTGTGAAACTGCTTAGCTGCCAAGTGAGGTTGTCATAATCTGTGTTTTGGTTACTTGTTGGTAGATCTTTGATATTTTATTTTTATTATTTTAGATGGATTCCCTTTATGATTATTATGTTCCATCTTTCTGTGGTCTGGGGCTCTTGTGCTTAGAGATCAGTTGTGTTTAATCAGTTTCTCTGTGTGACATTAGTTTCTCTAAATTCATATCCTGATCAATCTGTGTCTTTTCAGCTGATTAATATTTAGTTCTTTTTCCCTTGTGTTGCCAGTCCCATAGCTCACTCATCCTCAGTCACTTCCTCAGTGTTTTTCCAGTCAGCCTGCAATATTCACTTCACCTGTTCCTCATTCCCTGTTAATCTCAACAGATGTCAATCTCCCACTTCTCTTTAGTTTGTGTATATATGGGTTCTTTCCATCTTCACTTCAGAAGTGCATTATTGGCTTCTGGTGCTCTCCTCTGAGAACATTTATCTTTAATGATTCCTTCTACTTGTGCTCCCAGTAATTATTCCTCAGTTGTAAGTTTTGCTGCCTCATCAACTTTTTCTTTTGTTTTTGTAAATAAGTTTTTGTTTTCTAAGCTCCTTGTGTCAGTCTGCATCCTGGGTTCAATTGTCCTGCCACCATGACAGCATTTATGACTTATGAAAGAGTAAGTCATTTTTGCCACTCAAGTGTGTAATAAAGTGATGGTGGACAGTCTATGCAACCAGCAGTCCATGCGATTTAGAATGGAAGCTATCCAACGCATTTTATAGTTAGCATTCAAAGCACTCCAAATCACCCCTGCTGAGCCACACTCCATTCTTCGTTTATGCAATGGTGTCTTCATTAATGGAAGCTCACATTGTTGCATGATATGTGTGACTTGATTGATGATCAATAAATTACCCAAGGTAGCTTTAAAACAGGATCTTGTCTTTGTGGCCATTTTATGAAACTGTTTTGTAAAAGAGGCTAATACGAAACAGATTGTTGTTTCACTATCATTACTGATGAGTCCCAGAACTGTTGTATTTATTGAGTTGGTTTGTACTGAATTTAGCAGTACAGTCATGTGTCTTCAGAGTGAAAAAGAAAATGACTGAAAACACATCCTTGAGGCATCCCTGTGCTTAATATCATACTACCAACACAAACTGTATTTTGTCTCCTGACAGAAAGTCAGCTACAGTGCTAGTTTGTCAGTCCAATCAGAGAGAACTTCACTATAAGTGATATTAATAAATACCGATTAGAAGTTGATAAACAATATTGACATACCTATTCTCATATAGTTGTAGAGCCTTATATTTACTTATTTTTTGGTCATTGAGACTTGTATTTTTCAACGATTTGATTTAGTACTGTTAACACATTGGTCAACAGCTTCTCCCTCTTGTGTGCTTTATTCTGAGAAGACTATTTTACTGGTACCATCAAACAGCTCTGAGTTACACTGTGTATTGATTTAATGGGCACTTGTTGTAATTGGAAGACTTAAATTGAGAACAAGAAAGCACCAGTGGCTGATACTGCTGTGAATATGCTCATAAAATCACTCAAATGCTTTTAACCTGTGGTTCAGTCAGTGATAATTTCAGAAAAGTTCCAGATTTGCCCTTTTAAAACAAAATTGCAGGATTAATGACTCTGAGATCATCCTGAGGTTCAGAAAAGCTACTAAAATGTGTGCGTGATTGGGGGGAGGGATATTTAGCAGTAGCTAATTCCAGGATTTTATTTTTCCATGTGGATTGTTGGAATATACACTCATTGATTTCAGTCAAGGATTATGTAAATATTATACTTAAAGCATTACTTACACCCTCTTTGACATTCTAAATCGGATTTCAAGAACAAATGTGGAATGCAATAAGGAAGCTCAAAGCAAGCACTAGTTAAATCAGACTTACTGAGATTAAAGCTCCCTCTCACTTGCTTGGCTTGTCCGTATTGATGGAAAGATACAAATGCAGTAAACAAAAAGTCCTTGAAATGTCTACGTAACCCAAACTGAAGCAGAAACAGTGCTGAGGCATAAACGCCGTCAGAACTGCATACAGCAAGCTGATGCAATGGTTTAACATCATGACGAATTTGTAAAGGATTCTAGCTTAAATATGTTTTAATTAAAAATAGAGTTTAGACGTTTTAAGAAACATATTAAGTTTGTTTACCATCAGACTAATCATCTAAATACTTGTGTTATGGATTCAACATATAAAAGAACAAAAATAAAATTATTATTTGTGTTATTCAATTAGATGCAGCTGACGTCCTGGTTTTTCCCTTGTTTTTTTGGTATTACTATTACTGGTAAGAAAGTTGAAACAAACAAACAAACAAAAGATTGTTGTTGAAAATAGCAGAAAAGCAAACAGGAAGAGTATATTTTGTCTTGTTTAAACAAAAAATGTGTCAGGTGTTAGGATATCACAATGTACAACTCCTCATCTTCATTTCAAACATGCGGTGGTCTGTTGGAGAAGAGAAGGCAGGTCGGCTTCAAAGAGAACATTCTGTTTGTTTTTGTTCTCACTATGTTGTCATGTTACCTCTCGCAACAGTGAACAACTGAGTAGGATATTTATCTGTTTTTTAGCACCTATTTGTGTAAAAACCCCAAAGCCACAGGCAGGAGAGTGTCTGAGCACCACCTCAAATCAAGCCTCTGGGAAGGAGAAGGCAGAAGTGAGTCGGGAGGTTGGATCAAAGCCAGGTGCAAAGGCTGCCATTCTGTATTAGGAGTTACTATCCTTCCCCGAGCCCTCCCAACTGTCTCTCTGTCTGCCCATGTCCTTGTTTTTCCTACTGGACCGACTGATGGGAGCTGACATTTGCCTCAATCCCTCAAGCTGTATCCGCTGAGCCTGATTTGAGCCCCAGGTCTTGTTTCCTAATGTTCAGGCTGTGTCTCCCGCTTTTTACTTACTGACTTAATCATTCTGCCCACTTCATTTTAAACACAGAATACAGTATATACATGACCATGTGAACTATCCATTTGTTTTTAAGATTGAGAATAACCCAATCAATACAATATGAAAACTGAAATGATTCCTACCCAACACGTCTGATTCCTTGATTTTTCCTGTAACACTGCTAGCTCATTACTGTTCCCTTCTTTACGTTATATCTTGAACCTGGCATCAACACCTAGCATGTTTTAGTTGACATCTTTGAGTTGATCAACCTTCTGTTGTTTTAAATGGTAAATGGAAATGGACTGTACTTTTAAAGCACCTTTCTATCTTATCAAGTAACTGAAAGTGCTTTACTACAATCTGTGCCCTCATTTACCCATTCATACAGCACTCTATTATATCTCTACAAAGGCTAATGAGTTCTTTAGGTCACATTCATACACAGATAAGACACACATCGGAGGCAGTGAGGGGTTCAGTGTCTTGTTCAGGGACACTTCAACATGTGACTGCTGGTGGAATCTAACCCCCAACTTTCCCATTGGAAGATGAGTGCTCTAACCACTTAGCCACAGTTGCCCCTATAAATATAAAATATTTTCTGTCAGAACTGATTGTGATTTAGTGATATGGTACACACAAGTGCAAACGTGTGCAGTCAGTAGCTTTCAGACACCACAGTTTTCTAGTTATTTTGATGATACCTCAGTCAAAACATAAAGAAGGCAGCTCAGCTTTTCTTCATTATTGTTTTAATTTAACCTTTATTTATACAGGTAGTCTCAGAGTCATGAGGACTCATTTTCAATGAGACCTGTTGATTGAGGTTGATTGTTTTGTGGAAGGAACTAAAGTAACTGTCAGTGAGATTTTTATTTTAATTTTATTTTTTTATGTGGGAAGCCTTTGGTTTTAACTTGGAGTTCGAATTTGCTGTGCTGTGAAACTTCTTATAATCAAGTACTACAGTAGTCCCTCGTTTATCGCAGGCGTTTGGTTCCCTGACACCCCCCCCCCCCCCCCCCCAATACGCGCAAAACCATGAAGTAGGAATATTAGTTCAAGTAGTAGTAAGTAGTAGTTTATTTTAGTATTTATATACAGGTATATATTGTGTATAAGTGGTCAAAGTAGGGTTTGATTTGAGCCGGATCCTGCCGGAACAAGATCCAGGAACTCTCTCAATTTGACCGGGTGTGTTCCATCAACTGTGTGCTTGAATCCAGCAACTGAAATCTATGCCCCTAAAAGTCCAAAGTCATCGTGCATTTTTGTTTTGATTATTTATTAAAAGTACAACGAGAGGAGACGTTGCATCCACAGCATGCGCACCAGCTCGTGCAAACGCTCCTGCACAGCAGAGCCGCGGACACCATGTCCCTTGCGGATGAAGCGTCTTCATCCACCTTCAGCGGTGCACCCTGCGGACATTGCACGTTATGCACAGGAGCGTCTCCACACAGCTGTACAGCGCACACATAACTGCTGATGTGTCAGAACTCCCGTATACATTTCAGACATAATGAATAAAAAAAAGCTTACAGTAAAAAAAAAAAAAAAATAAGAGAAATGTTTGATGTGTATTATTCACATTACATCACATGTCAAAACAACAGCACTAATTTGTCAAAATAACAGCGATCAAAATGTGGAAAAGACAGTTCAGTGTATTATCTAAACTAAATGGATGGATGGATTGCCCTTAGTTGGACAATCGGGAATTGAAGCACCAGTGGCAATTGAGATTGGAGCAGGAGCAACAACGCGCAGGACTGAATTCAGTTGAGAAGAGTGTGAGTCGGAGCAGTGAAGTGTGTGTGTGTGTGTGTTTGGGGGGGGGGGGGGTGGTGGGGGGGGGGGGGGTAGGACACTTGACAAATCAAAGCTGCTCTATTCACACACAGTCTTGTTGCTGTTGCTCTCTAAAGTAGCAATTTCTATTCAACCTTTATGTATACAAGTTAGTCTCATTGAGCCTTGAGGACTCATTTACAAGAGAGACCTGTTTTTAATCAATTTAATCAAATGTTTACAAATGTAGGTAAACATAGATGTTTAACAACCTGTTAAAATACACCAAAATGCAGGAAATGGCATCTCTTTTATTCCAAATTTTCTGATTTTCCCCTTCAAGTTCAGTCTACATGTTGATTTATTGCTGGACAAAAACCCCAAGTTTCTCTTAGTGACAGTAGTTTGTGTGGCTGTCATGTAGTTGAGTGCAAATTACAACACATTTTAAATCACCTTGTGACGCCAGTTATGAACTGAAAAATAAACTGTCCAGTAAATGTACTACACATTTTTATACTTAAACATAAACAATTTACATGTATTTGTTAAATCTGTAATTTTATGTCTGGGGAGTTGTGGAGGTTAAACATTGAAAATGTGTAGAAAATCTGAAATCTAAACTATTACTTTTATAAATTAAACCAAGCTCCTGATAGATATCAAACATGTTCTGCGGCTCATTCCAAAACGTCTGTGATCTGTGAGAGCGCTACAGAACAACCACTCAGTGTGTTGTTTAGAAACGGCTTTCAGCTGTAAAATGTGAGCTGCTGTCACTGACTAAAAATGTGTGAGGTTGGAAGAATAACCTTCCATGTGGCTTTTATACTGGTGGCTTATTTACACACATTTTTAGGTTTGCTACAGCATTTGAACAATTGTCTACTAAATTGATTGCCAGAGAGATATTGAGAAAAAATACTTGACTGTCAATAATGTGCTGTTTTGTTTGACAAGAAACGGACCTTCATAAGAGCTAGTACATGTTATCCCCATGAGTGTTAAAAGCTTGCTCAAAGCAACCAACCGTGTACAATAAGAAAATAAAAAATCATACCGCATAGACACATTGAGTAATAGTCCAACACATGTATTTTCTGCATTAAGGAATATATTTTAGGTATCAAATCATCATACCTTACTTTATCACTTCATGATTATTTTGTTATATATACTTTGAGTCTTGTGTTTGTTTTATTTTTCAGATATTACCTCAAAAGAGTTCCTTGAATTGAGAGGGAAGCAGCGGAGCCGCTACGAGCTGCTGGTGGACTTTCTGTCTGAGATGCTTTCTGTTCCACCGGGTGACGTTAACATCTTCAGCCTAATGGATGTGAAGGAGCGAATGTTGGATGTTCGATTTGCTGTGCAAGGTGGCCCCTCCTTCCTCCAACCAGAGAAAATGCATGGGTATTTGGCTGCCCACAAACAAAAGGTAGACCACTCTTTATGTCCTTAACTTTTTTTAAAGACACTTTACTTAACAAAGACCTGCCACTGTAAGTTCTGTTGAGGATCCTGATGTTGATGGACCGAAACAAAAAAACAGTCATCACAGTATTTTGAGGGCATTACAAAAGTACTATAATTTTTCAAGTACACGAAGCTTTTGTAATTCTGCAATTTTTAACACTCCCTATGTTTTCTTATTTATTTATGTTGAACCAAGTGCATTGCTTGACAGGCAGCACCGGTGTCAGGATTTTGGTAGATTTGCCAAACGTGGGTCTTAGATCATGTATTTTCTGTGCTTATGGTCAGATTTAGAGGGTATGGGTGCTCAAGTTATTTATGTTTATTTTTGATTGTCAGTGTCAATGCCAATTTATTTCTATAGCACATAAAAACAACAAAAGCTGTCCAAAGTGCTTTACAGTTGGCATATTAAACAATAGTAAAAAATACATCTTGTGCCACTCGAAAAACATAAGTAAGTTATCAGTAACATACAACAACAATAAAAATCAGCTTTAACTTGTTTTCAGACTCGGCATGGATCAAATGCCAAGGAAAACAGATGAGTCTTGAGCAAAGATGTAAAAGCTTCAACAATCTTAGAGGTCTTTAAATGATCGGGTAAACTGTTCCAAAGTTTTAGAGCAGAAACCGCAAAAACCTCTGGACTTCAGTTTGGATCTGGGGACTTCTAAGAAAAACTAGTTGCAGTACAACTTTATATTACAGCTTGTAAAGTGTTTTTTTTTTTCTTTCTTTTTTTTTCATTTATTTATTTTGGATTTTACTGACATTCTTGCAGTTTTTAAATAAAATTGTTAATTTTAGTTGAGACAAATTTGAAAACTGCAATGTGCTGGTTTTTGTATTGAACGTTTTTTGAAAACTGCAATGCTTCCAGGATTCTAACTTGTATACATTTATAGTAAATTGCTGTCTGTGCCAAGATGCCAAGGTAAATCAAAAGAGAATCGGGTGAATTAAACTTTAAACTCAATAACTTGTCTCATGCAAGAAGGCTGTTCACTTCTTTTCACTTTGGTGCACACTTTGCTTGGTATAGCAAGAGTCTTTAGTTGCTTGAAAGCAGCATCATTTAAGGATCAGTGCTAGATGCAATGGCCTTTACACTGCGCAAAAAATTGTTTCATTTGTTTGGTTTTTTTACATCCTTTTTCACCAATGGCTAATTCTTGTGTTTTCAGTCATTGATTGCAGTAACTGTCACAATATTGACATGTCACAATTATGTCACAGTTCTCTGTATCGACAGATTTAGTCTGGTTTTCAAAGCAGTTCGTGTCATACAGTATTATTTGGCCTAAACAAACTTGGGTTAAAAAAATCTCTAATTATTTGTAATATAAAAACTTAAATAATGAACATGATTTGTACCACTTCTTTTTTTTCTCTCTCTCTCTTCTTCTTCTTTTGTTACAAAATTAGTTAGATTTGTATTGTTAATATTTTTTTGTAATTTTCTGGTCATAAAGCAATGCACTTTTTTTTTTTTTTTTTTTTTACATTTTACATACCAACACTTGTTTTAGAAAATTGATGTTTATGATACCATGCAAATCTGTTTTGACAGTGTCATTTGTTTCTCTTACACAACTTTACTAGTTGAACATGACAAGAAAATGAGATATGCCGTTAAGTGAGCATCAAAGCTGGATGAGAAAGGGTTTAGGTTATTTCTATTTACTTCATATCTCATTAAAATGCAAGAGATGTACACAATGTGAGACATGTACCCTTTGGCTTCATTTCTATTTTGTAAAGAGCAAATATTTTCACTGGCATCTTTTTACTACAATTGTAGGTCTGTGAGCTTTACACTGTCCTCAAGGTGAAGTCACTTAAACAGAGACTGGCAAATGAAAATGTAAGCAGAATTACAGCAGACTGAATTATTTGAGAGTATCAGGACTGGATCCTCAGCAGTCTAGGTTTTGTAGAACCTTTATATTTATATTGTTGTACTAAGTTGAGAATGAGCTTGTATAAACCAAAGTCTGTCGTTTTTTAACAGAAATGTTACAACCAAATGTCAGCTCCAGTGTCCACCACAATGTTTACAAGTATTTTCAAGACTAAAGAAAACAGAATTTAAATAGTAAAGTCTGCATGTAAAACAATCTGTAGCTGTGTTGAATGTGCATCCCTGTCTGGGAATGACAGCATTGTATCAACATTTCTTTGAGCAGCGGGTAATTCTCCCCGAGTTTGTCAGAGCCACCCTCACCTGTTCAGATGACAGATTTGCTTCAAACAATGTAGCATCAACCACTGGATGGTATGTTGTTGTTTATGCTGCTCACAGGACATTTTTATGGGTTTAGGCAATCCTCTAAGTGCTTGAACTCAAATAGGCAGCTGTGGCTGAGTAGTTAGAGCAGTCATCCTCCAATGGGAGAGTTGGGGGTTCAATTCCACCAGCAGTCGCATGCCCAAGTGTCCCTGGGCAAGACACTGGACCCCTCATTACCTCCGATGTGTGTCCCATCGGTGTATGAATGTGATAAAACACTGATTATTCTTTGTATTCAAATAGTAAAGTGCTGTATGAATGAGTAAATGAGGGCACAGATTGTAGTGTAAAGCACTTTGAGTATTTTGATCAGATAGAAATGTGCTATATAAGTACAGTCCATTTACTTGCCAGACACCAAAATGGAAGTCGGCACATTGCTTATTTTTCAAGCTATCCAGTTCACATGGTTAACATATACATATACAATGGCAGCCACCTTTGATTTTGACATGGCAACCCAGTTTTCAAAAGAAACATTTCTTGTGCCTAAATGTTTCTACAAACCAAAATGGAAGTCGATACCTCACTTATTTTTCTAGTTATCATGCTCACAATATGCACGGATCAAGGGTGTTTCCCTTTACCCCTCTTTGCTTTGGGATGGGGAAGCAAAAAGGTACTGTATAATGGTTCAGTAGGGCAGCACGGTGGCGCAACTGGTAGAGCTGCTGCCTCTCAGCGAGCAGTTTCCTTGGTTCAAACCCCGGTCCAGGGGCCTTTCTGGGTGGAGTTTGCATGTTCTCTCCGTGCATGCGTGGGGTTTCTCCGGGTACTCCGGTTTCCTCCCACAGCCCAAAAACATGCATGTTAGGCTGACTGGTAACTCTAAAATTGTCCCTAGGTGTGAATGAGAGAGTGAATGGTCGTTTGTCTCGTTTGTCTCTATGTGGCCCTGTGATGGACTTGCGACCTGTCCAGGGTGTACCCCGCCCCTGGTGATTGCTGGACATGGGCACCAGCGACCCCCGTGACCCAAAATGGAATAAGCGGGTAAAGATAATGGATGGATGGATGGATAATGGTGCAGTTTTACAGTTGCAAAATATCACAGGAAAAAAGCCCAAAACAAAACAAATCAGGAAAATGGTGTGGGTAGTACAAAGCAAAACAAATATCATGACACGTGAATGCTTGTGACTTTTACTTTCCGCAAGTGTTTTATTTTATTATTTTTTTATTATATTTTCCGCTCAATATATTTTTAGTATATTTCCTCTTTCTTTGTAGATTGGATGTAGATACAGACTTTTAAACTAGCTTTGCCTGCTATTCCTAAAAGCACTTCCCTGTGATTTTTTGTAGTGCTGCATTGCAAAGTTCCAAGAGAACCTCTGTAGATGTGGTTGCTGCTATGGGTAGTTGTAAGTGCAAATAGCAGTAGTAGTCAAGTCAACTTTATTATAGAGCACATTTAAAACAGAAGCTGTAACCATTGTGCTTAACAATAACATCAATGAGAATACAATGAATGGAAAAAATAACACTCACTAATAATAATTCTGAAAAATGTATTAAAAGCATTAAAAACATAGGAACACAAAACAAACAAAAAAAAAAAAACTAAATCAACTCACACTATGTGAAATGCCAGAGAAAACAGATGTGTTTTAGCAGAGATTTGAACACAGTAAGGGAGGTGTCCTGCCTAATGTTGGGGGGAAGATTGTTCCAAAGTTTGGGGCCCATGACTGAAATGGATGATCACCTCTGAGTTTCAGTCTTGTTTTTGGAACAGCCCAAAGCAGCTGATCTGATGATCTCAGGGCCCGAGAGAGAACATATGGTTCCAGTAACTCAGAGAGATAAAGATGTGTGAGGCCATTTAGTTACTTATAGGTCAACGGAAGAATTTTAAAGTCTATTATTGTACGCACAGGGAGCCATAGGAGGGAGGACAGAACTGGAGTAATATGATCAAACCTATGAGTTTCAGTTAAGAGCCGTGCAGCAGCATTCTGGACAAACTGGAGATGCAAGATGGAGGCCTGGCTGACCCCAGCATAGAGTGCATTACAGTAGTCCAATCAGGTTGTGACAAAGGCATGGATTAGTTTCTTAAGGTCAGGTCTGGACAACACTGGCTTGAGCTTAGCTACTTGCCTTAATTGGAAGACGATTTTCTGCAGAACAGAGTTGGTTTGTTTGTCAAATTTGAAGTCAGAGTCTAAAACCTTCCTGAGATTTTTAACAGACTGCTTAAGATATGGCTGAAGAGAGTCCAGGTTTATAGGATCAGAGGCGGCGGTTGAGCTAGGGCTAAACACAATGACTTCAGACTTCTGATCGTTAAAACTTAAGAAATTTGAAGCCATCTATGTCTTAATGTCGTCTAGACATTTTAGAAGAGGGTGAATGGAGCAAACACTAGCTGGTTTCAAAGGCAAGAAAATCTGACAATCATCAGCATAACAATGGAATGAAAACCATGTTTCCTCAGGATAGGATAGCTAGCTGTAACACTTCTGGTACAGCAAGTGACATCCACAAAAGGAATGTCATGGTAATGCCAAATTGAGGGCAGTGTAAAGGTTCACACAACAACTTTTGCATAAACCATTGACCCCCGCGACCCAAAAAGGAAGAGGCAGATGAAAGATAATGGATGGATGGATGGATGGATGGATGGACAATCCCCTATATATTTTTTAAGTTTTGAGTTGTTTTAT